CTAGCCTATCATCATCACCAAAGCCAAAAACGAAAACTAGAAAGAAAAAAAAAAAAAAAAAAAACCTCAAACTTTCACCCGAGTCCACCATTAAAAACCCTACAACTATTCAACCAAGCTTCAAAAACGGATCTGCAACCACAATTGTGCCCGCAACATCAACGCTTTTCACAGTTATGCCCACATCGACCACATTTGCCCACAATTTCCCACAATATCAGCATCACAAAACCGCAATCACAATTTTTTTTCTTATCAAATTACAACAGCCACAACGAAAATCGAACCTAGGTTCTTAATCATCACACCGACCATCGTAGTTAGCGACCACAATTAAAAACCTTGCATACAACAACCTAAGCACAAACACCCACATGACGAAAACCACAAAAAACCAAAACTTTGCACTCCCTCACCTCATCACATTCAAAATCCTTCCCCCCCACGATCCGAATCTTCCCGATCAAGTCCCTCATGGTATGTCTCGATATCTCGCCACGTGGCACAAACCGATCCAGAAACTCCCGATCAACCAAAAACTCACGCTCAACGACCCCTTCCACACCCCCATCAACCTCAAACGCACCGTTTCCAAACACCGGCAGCTCCTCCTCCTCCCCCCGCCCAATAACCGCCGCCAGCGCCTCCCCGCCGGCCGCCATCTCGATCCTCTCCGGCGCCATGCGCAGCCTCCCGCCCTCGCACACGGAGCTCCGCAGCGTCTCGCTGTGCCAGCACCGGAACCACCCCGCGCCGCCGCGCGCAAGGAGGAGGTCGCGGCGGCGCGTGAAGCCGTTCCCGAAGTAGGCCTCGCAGGAGCGGCGGGGAGGCGCCGCTCCGGGGCTCTGCGACCAGGGAAGGTAAGAAGGGAGAATGGGCCATGGCTTTGAAGAGTGCGTCTGGTTGAAGGGTGTTAAATAGGTGTGAGGATTGAGGTGTAAAAACGAAGAAGAAGAAGAAGAAGGTGGTTGTGGGGGTGCAGAAGGAGATAAGTGGTGGTGTATGAAGTAGAGGAAGAGAGAGAAGGAGTTGAGGGCGAAGAGGAAGAAGAGGATCCGAAGAAGTAACGTGTTTCTTCGGTTCATGGCTTCTTCTTCTCTCTCTCTTCTTTCTTTCTCTCTCTCCCCCTCAGTCGGAGGTTGAACCGGAAAGAGAGAGAGTAAACATGGTTTTCATTTTTCTATTTTTTTTTTCAAACCGAGACAGACCAATCGGGTCACGCCACGTGTCGCGTTAGTTTGGTCCCACTTTCCGAAGGTTTATTATTGTGTGTGTGTGTTTACTTTAGTTTACCCGAAGATGAGGCTATAAATAATAAACAAGAAATTTGTTGCCTTCTGACTCATTGTTTCGGTAGAAGTTTAGTTTCTTTTCAGGTGTTACAAATTATTTTTTAGATACTAAATATAGTATTATATTCTCATATTTAATATAAGTTGTTTTTTCGGTGCATAATTAATACTATAAGTTAAAACATGGATATTGTTAACTTTTAGGAATATAAATTATTTATATTTATTATTTTACTTAAATATATTTTAATTTTTAAATTTAGGATAAATTTATTTATTCTTTTTCAAATTTAAAATTAATTTTTCACATTTTTTATTTTAAAATATCCTTATAATAGTATCTTAGAACCCATTTAAAGTGATTTTCAGTTTTCAGCTTCAAAATTTTTTTTAAAAAAAAAATCGCAATCAGTTTTTTTTTTATATAGTTTTAGTTTTAGTTATTTTCTTGTTTTAATATTTAGTTTATTTTTGAAAGTTTCCTATTTATTATAAGATTTAGTTATATAAAATAAAATTTTATCACGTGTGCTAAAATACTATATTATTTATATTTAAACGGGGATGAAAAATAATTTTAAAACAATTAGAAATGAAAATTTTAGTAGAAATTTGATGAAAATGATAAGATTTTGTAAGATATATCATTAAGATTTAAATGGAGAAAAAATGACATTTTTATTTTATTTTGGATAAAATTTATGTTTTGGCTAATGGATTCTGATTAGAATATATTTTAAATTAATTTTTTATCAGCTATTCTAAATTTTAAATTAGTTTAATTGAAGTAATATGAGAAATACTTTAGTAAAACTAAGAATTTGAGAAATCTTTATCTTTATCTTTATGTGTATAAAAGTAGTAAAATCTACATAAATTGTACAAAAATAAGAATATAATATTTTTAAAACAATCTATCTAATATTTCCTCATCTTTCTCTTTCATATTAATTCTCAGAGTTTCATAATTCATTAATAAATTTTATAATTTTTTTGAAGTAATAATAGGTTTCATGAATCAAAATAAAATTCTTAAGTTAATATAAATTTTATAACTTACTATAATAGATTTCATAAATCAAAATAAATATCTTAACTTAATATCAATTGAAGAATTTTTTTAAAATTCTTAAAACAATTGTTAATTTTATACTTAAATTTAATCTTTATCTTAATTTACAAAAATTAAGAAAAAAATATTTACATAAAATCTTCCACATAAATTCTATAATATAAAAACTACTTTTTAAAAAAAAAACTATCATAATTATTAATTGTTATTCGTTGAATTCATCATTTAGCATGTATAACTTTTTTAACAATAATTGGTAATCATATTCTATACTTTACTATTCCTTCAATTATTCATCGGATACATAAATATTTATTAAAAAAATATTTTATTTAATTAATTTAAAATTTAAATTTAAATTTATATTTGTATATATAATCTTAATAAAAATTGTGCAAATTACTTTGTACAAATAATATATTTAATGAATAAAAAAAATTGTTAATTTAATACTAATTTTTAAAATACAAAACTGTAATAAATGATAAAATTATATATTATTTAAATTTTATTTGAATATGGTGTAAACAAATTATTTGAGTATTAAAAGGATCAAAGACGCAATTAATTGTGTCTATAAAAAATATAAACCAATCACGCGATTACCATTCCTAAAACTCAAACATTAGCAACAATTTATACATATCATACATAATTTAAACTGAACTAAATGGATAAAAGACACAATTAATTAAGCCAAAACAAAATTCTTATGAAAAGTGTAATACGGTAAGTTATAGAATATTATAATTATTTTAAGTCATTTTTGTGTTTTTCAGTTGAGTTGTTGCTTTAAGTTGAGGAACTTCAAGATCTGAGAATGTTTTTATGAGTTTTAGTAGTGTTAGGAATTTATCTGGACATAAATCTAGTTTGACTCCTTAGGGGGAGAAGTACAAGGTTTTTATTTAGAATAGGGTCTCATAAACTCAAGTTCCCAAAAGTTTAGAGAGAGGATTATAGAGAGAAGGGTTCTAGTCTATGAGTTTCCTTCTGCTTAAAATTTTCTTCTCTTTCTTTCTTAATCCATACTAGTGTAATGTTATTGTTGGATTTCGGTTAATAGTTGCTAGAATCTTGTGGCTGGAATCAATTAACTAAAGTGTGGAGTTTTGAATTTCTTTTCTTCTACATCAATTTTGTATTACTCTATGGTAAGGGAAACTGGATTTATGGACTTTAATTAATTGGGTTGTGTAGTGATTCATGAGTTGTATCAATTTCATTGAGATTCATGGTTGGATTGATCAAATCGGAGTGGATTGTACAGAGAGTTGGGTTTTTGGGTTCGTGAGGAAGAATGTGATGATTTCCTATGAATTGTTGTTGCATGTTGGTTTTGAGTTACTTGTGTTGAGTAAGATCATTATTTTGTGTTGCATGTGTGGTTTTGGTTGAGTTTCAAGTGGATTAGGTGATTTTTGTGATCTACATTAGTGTAGAACTTACATCGCATTGAGTGTGCCATCACGGTTGTCTTGATCATGTTACGAGTAGGACTAGTGGTGTTAGACATGAGGAAAGAGACTTGTATCAAGTTGAAATAGTGTTAAAAGTGGTTTGAATGACATTGAGCATGAAAGCACTAGGAAGTCTCAACTTGGTGACGTCGAGCTCAAAGTTAAGTGGTGCCCAACATGGTCAAACTAGAACTCTCTGTTTGGACGATGCCAGGCACCAATATGCTAACATTGGGCGTGTCTTTGCCTTATCTTCATTGGGCATAAGTTGTGTAGCATTAGGCGTGAGTGAAACGAAGAGTTCTCTACCTAGATGATGTTGGGCATTGGGTGTGTGGCGATGAACACTAATTGTTGAAGAAAAACATGTTATTTGATTGATGAATTGTTGAATATGAGTAGAGTAGAATGTTCTATAATATGACTTAAGTTGCTTAATATTAATGTACAATGATAATTAGAAATGATGAATGGTTGAGAGTTGAAAGTAAGTTGAGTTGTATGTTGTGTGGTGGTGGTGTAATTGTGTTGCATGTAAGAAGTTGTTGCGTTGTTGAGAATGCTTTAGGTGTTTATGCATAATGTTATTGAGTTGTGTTGATCAACTTAGGATTAGAGGAGAAATTATTTTAAAGTTGTATATTCTATTATGTGGATATTGTTTTGTGGTGCTTTAAGAGTTCAATTTGTTGAAAAAACCCCTCTTGAAAAGTTGACCCTTGAAATGGACAATTAAGTCTCCTCTAGGACCTTAGTTAGTACCGTGTGTAGGCAAAATTGAGACACACGTATATAAAACAACCACAGTATAGGGTCAAGTCAAACTATACTGATTATAAGTGACCAACCGAGTAAAGTACGAAGTCAAGAACTTAGTTCCTAATTGAGTATCGGAAATGTGTAGTATTTTGAGGGTATTCAATGGTTAATCCCACAAGAGGCTTAATTAAGTTAGCTAATGTCATGGTAGACTCATATCCATCTATTCTACCCTAATAATGGTACTAGACTTCCTTGGTTAAGTGGCATCATCAGATAAACCAACTTGTTGTGTTGTGGATTGATATCTAATTTGTTATTGATCTAGCAAGCCAAAAAGATCACCTTATGTTATTGGTTCAGTAGGCTCAAACCATTTAAATTGCTCATTTTGTATTATAGGAGATCTTTTAGTTGAAATGCATGACAATGCATACAATTATTGTGTTGTGCATATGATGCGGTGATTTAATTGTGTTGTTCATATGTAGTGTTGATTTGTAATGAAGTATGTTGATGTGTTGAAAATTGAGTTATTAATGTTGTGTTATTTTAGTTGACCTTGTGTTGTAGTAGATGTAATTGTAAAGTTGATAAAGTTGAATGTATTGAAATGTTGATGTTGAAAAAAATTTGAAAAGTGTTGTAAAACCATGTTCATAATCCTTGTTGTTTATGTTGTTGCCTTGAAGTGTAGGTTATTTTTGCATATTTTCATGTAGGTTAGATTACAATGATCATATGTGATATGATGACAGAATAAGGATAAATATAAAATATTGTAACTGAGGTGGCTATAAGAAAGATGACAATGTTGTTTATATTTTGAATATTATTGCATAATAGTATTTTGTATAAAAGTTACTTGATTGACAACTTATATTGTATAATTTATATTTATAAGATTATTGTATCTGCATTTTATATATATATATATATTCATAATATTTTACCTTTATATACATGATATAAAGTATTTATATAAACAAATTCTAAATTATTAATTATTTTCACTGCTAGTGAATTATATTTAAGTATAAAAATCATGACGAATTATTTAAACAAATTTTTTTTAATATATTTTGTTGTGATTTTTTATGTACATTTAGAATCATTTTCAATAAAAAAATATTTATTTATTTATTTCATATTTAGTTTTAGTATACTTATTAGTAGGATCTAAAATAGTATCGTACCTTTTAAAATTATTTTTAATTAGTAAAATTTATTAAAATAGCCACTATTACCATTCCCATAACTTTAACATTAGCAAAACTCTAGAACAATTTCTATCAAACACTTAAATTTTTTTATATTATTCATTTTATTTATTACACTACTTACATTTTTTAAATAAAGTATTTGATCTTTAAAAAAAATGATAAGACCTCAAATTTAACTCAAAAGCATAAAATTAAAATAACAAATATATATTTCGTCTACGGAATTAAATATAGAGTTTATTTATTTACTAGAACATGATCTATTTATTATTTTTTCCTAACATATATTTTAAGTCCATTCAAATATTGCTGTATTTTATTTTAATCTCTGTAAATATTCTTTTTTGTCAGTTTTAGATCTTTGGCATTTTTTAGTGATTTTTTTTTTCTGTTGTTATTAATAACTCTGGTTTGTTTGTTTTTTTTCTTCTTTAAAGATAGGAAACATTACAAAGATGTCTGTAATGAGGATTGAACCTAGGTCTTCATGTTTCTAACTATCTCTACCCCAACCTCTCCCCTCTCAACCACTAGGCTAACCCTAGTGATTTAACTCTGGTTAGTTTAAGTGTTAATATGGAAAACAAGATATTAAATATTAATTAAGATAATTAATGTAAAAAATATATATTTTAAATTAATATAATTAAATTAATTTTATGTGGATAATTTAATTGAGGAATTTATTTATTATTATATAAAATAATATTATATAATTTTTTTAATTTTAATATATTATTAATATTAATTGAATTTAGCTTTTAATGCATTTTTAATATCTTACTTTTAATGTTTTTTTAAATCTTAATTTTTTAATTTTAATTTATTGTAATATAATTTATATATTACAAGTTGTAATTTTGTCTCCAATGATAAAAATAATAGAATAAAAATAAATTAAGTGTTTAAGTAAATTATAATTCTTTTATAAACATATAATTTTAAAAATAAATTAGTAAATTGAAAAGTAAGAACAATATTAAAAGTAATAAAAATTACCATTCATAATGTGTTAAAAATTAAAAAATTTATAAGTAATGATCTTATGTATATAAAATAATAAATGCATCATCTAATTAAATTATGCGAGTAAAAATAATTTAATTATCTTAATTTAAAAATATTATAATGATAAAAGAATCATAATATTATTTTATTACTTTAATTATCTTAATCAATATTTTATATTTTGTCAACCATTTTAGTATTAAGCAGTTAGTAAGAAAGAATATAAAAAGAACACTAAAAAATGATAGATTTAAAAATGCCAAATTTGTTTTACGAGAATTTAAACAAAACAAAAAGATATTTACAGGAAGAAAAGCATATTTAAACTTTTTTTTATCCTTACTAGAACATGAAATTGGAAGATCCTTCCTAAAGTAAATATTTTTGAACTGAAAAGAAAAACATGAAAATATATATTCTTCATCTAATTCATTAATTTAAGATTAAGTTATGTAAGGGATTGCAACATTTATTTTCCTTCTCTGACTAATTTGCAAATCTCCTATTGATTAATGCTAGTAAAATCAATAATCAAGATCACTTGCGGTTTCAGATCTCCAGTGTCTTGCTTTCTCAAATCCGTTGGCAAAGTTCTCAAAATCATCAATGGTTTGATCAATCTCTTCTTGATTGTTCATCACAAAGGGTCCAAATTGCACCAAAGGTTCCCCAAGAGGTTCTGCTCCAACCAAAATGAACCTAAGCAGCTTAGAAGATTTGTTCCATGCCTCTAGACCATCCCCACCAGGGCCAAGAAGAAGAATATGGTGAGAGTTTGTAGGCTGAGATTTCATGTTTCCAAAGGTACCCTCTCCTTCCAAAACATAGACAAAAGCATTCCAAGATTTTGGTATAGGTTGTTGCAAGTGACCCCCAGGTTTCAGAGAGAAGTCCAAGAACATGGTAGGGGTTCTTGTGTAGATTGGAGACTTTATACCTAGTGCTTCCCCAGCTATTACCCTAACTTTGATACCATCATCCTCAGCTTCTGCTACGTCCTTACTCAACACTTCTTGATACCTTGGTTCAATCCTAGTATAGCAGTACCAAACAAAAGTTACACAAAGATTATCTCTTATATTCATAAAGAAAATAAATTAAGTACACTATTATAAATATTATTAGTATTGTTTTTTAATTGAAATGAAATTTTATCTCAATAATATATATAAATATATATTAGTGAGGTCTGTATATTAAATGGAAATACATATCATCAAGATGAAATTATAATTCTGATTTAAGAATAATATCAACTTTATTTATGATCCTATATCTAAGTTTTGTACATTAAATAATTATTTTAAAGGACTTGGATTCTCTCATGTTAGCAACTAGCATTACAAAGTAATGTTATGAAAGATAAACATAAAGAAAAATTAATTTATCCTACACAAGTAATGGTGAGTCCTACTATGATTGTTTCATGTCTCTCTTTTAACATCACCAAACCTAACATGAGAATATGTCTAAAAATCAACAAATACAATGATGTCTTATTACATAACAAGTACTTTAAAAAAGCTTTAGTGAAAAAGTAACTACATCTATATTGGGTCACTTAAAACCTGACAAACTTTGAAACTAGCAGTGGCAATATGCTGCCTTTATTATTGAAATTACCATCATCACTAGGAATATGGATGAGAGGCACATATGCTGGCCATTTCAAACCGTTATGAACACTTGCATCATGTACCTATTCAAAATCACTTCTACTAGGGAATGGTCCATGATGGCATGGGAATCATGAGGCAAAGTGGCATGTGAAAGTAAGCAAGGTATATATTAATTCCAAAAGTTTAAATTATATTTGACCTTTTCCTATGTAGAGAGGGGAATCACTTTTTGTATCATTGATGGTAAGCATCATCCGAATTAAACTATCATTCAATGACATCAATGATGATGAGCAATGACGCAAAAAATATGTCATCTAACCCTGTAGCCAAGGCTAAGATTGTTATTTGAGTAATTGAGAAAACAGAAAAACCTAAAAGTCTTCTCCTTGATGGCTACCTCTAATACTCTTACTGAGGGATCTTTATTATTCAAATCTTATTAACGATATCCTAATCAAAATCAAATGAACCAAAAAGAATGATTTATGAAAAGAAAATACAAAATTATAAATATTGTAAATGTTGATATCCAATTATAATTAAAATTTTATCTCGATAATATATTTATATTTAATGCAGACTTCAATAATATATATTTTTATTTACTATGATGAAACTTTAATTATGTTAAAAAATAATACCAAGAATATCATAGGTAAAGTACCCAACTTTTTTCTTGGATTTAATTAACTAACATTTTATATTTGGAGGCTAGGTTGATCCACAATTGCAGACCCTTTTGGGTGCCTTGAGCTGCAGGCATTTCTGAGTGAACTATCCCTCTCCCTGCAGTCATCCATTGCAAGTCACCGGCTTCTATTGTCCCCTTGTGTCCTTCAAAGTCTTCATGTGTTATAGCTCCCTGAATGAGACAAAAGATTGTGCACTAGTAAGAAATATATGTACAAGCACAAGGGCACTTGCATAGCACCTTCACAACTTTAGGTACAAGTTGGTAGTAGCTTAGTTTTATTCTAGAAGCAGAAACAAGACATCAACTTGTGGGGTCATTCATGTCCTTTTCCTTATGTAACCAGTTATTTTGGGCAATTCTTTAGTGGTTGTGTTTAGATGTCACTTATTAAAATGGCTGATTTGGCAATCGGGCATTAATTGTTAACTTATTTGTTGCCATACCCCCAGCACACAATTTGCAACCATGTTTGAGTTGACAATAATATCTGGTTACAGTTTCACACTTCAAATCAGAAAACCAAGTATTTAGGACATGTTTGATTCCTTTCTTACTTTTTAATTTTAAAAATTGTTTTTGAACCAATAGCACACTACTTCTCAATCATTTTTTTTTATCCAAAATCTATCAAGTTCTATAAATTGCTTTAAAAAAATGTGTTTCAAAAATCAAAACACAAAAACAACCTGGAGATATTTTTTCATCCTCTTATTTTTTATTTTCTTCAAATGTTCTTGTTCAAGTGCTTAGGGAGTATTTTCTTCTAACAACCACCTATTATTGGTATATTTTAGAAAACAGAGAACTGTTTTCCAAAAGAGTAATCAAACAAGGCCTTAGTTTCCTTTTATATTTCATTTTGTAACCCTCACCCTTATAGTCCATTAAAATAATATGTTTCTAACTTTAGAAAAGGATTCCAACAATAAAAAATAAAGATTTGTTCAGTCATCCAATGATGGCAAACAGTTATATAGGAATCATGAGATGTTTGCCATTGTGAAAATTGAGCACGAGAAGAAGTTTGTGAATTGAAACATTCAACTTGCTCTACCTGTAACATATATGTGACTGTCTCAAAGCCTGTTAATAGAAAACACCACAAAGAAGGAACAAGGAGTCAACATAGCTCAGCTGAGAAAATTTCTCAATAACAAAATAAAAATTACATAGAAAAGGCAAATTTTCAAACCTCTGTGAGGATGATCAGGAAAACCAGCAGGTGCAGTAACTGCAACGTCACAAAATTTCACAATCTCAGAAAACATACCAACACAACATATACACATTCCCCTGTAAGAAAACAGAGCAAAAAAAACAGAGATTCTCACCTGAGAATTCATCCAACACAAGGAAGGGATCAAAGTACTTGAGCTCAAACCTGATCAAACCCAATAACAAATCAACTAAAAGACCACAACTTTGCAAAGAACGCAAACTTTTAATGCAAATTGAGAAACATGGTCTTGAAAATTTTTATTTTCATTTTTATTTTTTTTAGCATTCTCTCTTACTCACCTCCCTATGCTTCTTCTAACAACAGCACCAACACCCTCATGCTGAGGTCGTGCCAAGAGTTTCCTGGCCACAAGACGAGGCTCATTCACAATACTGCAAGCTTTTCTCTGTGGCATTATGTGAGAAGGTGCAAAACCAGAAAATCTCAATAGATAGATTGGTGAAAAGCGTGTGTGAGGAACAAGAGAATGATGGTTGAAGGTATAAATAGGAAGGTGGCGTGGAGAGAGAAAGAGAGTTACCCTTTGAAAAGGTCAAAGAGAATGAGAATGAAAGTGGTGGCATTGCTTGAAGTGAAGGAACGTTTGGTTTCTTTGTTTTGTTCTGTGGGTTTCTGTGAACGTCAGCATAACGCACTGATGATGTGCAGTTCCAGGGGATCCATCTCACCCATTACATGACTGCCACGTGGATCCTTTTTGTTCAAACTGAAACCTCCGAAAAAGGAAAAAGGAAAAAGGAAAAAGAAAAAAGAAAAAGAAAAAAATCTTCAGCAGTGCTATCTAGTTCAGCACGAAAATGAATTGCACCAAACCGAACACGCAATGCAAATGTGGAAAGATTCATTTTTTCAAATGAATATTTGAAATTTGGAATTCAGTAAGCATGTTCTTTGATGAATGATTTTCTACATGGTCAGCTAACCAAGATTTATCTCTGATAATTTTTTTAAAATAATTATTATTCCGTCATTTTTATAAGAGTTATATACTTACTTAATTTATGATTAAAGAAGTTAGTTAATTGGTTTATATTTTTTTTAAACTACACATATCATTAATCAGACTCTTACTTACCTTGTTAACTATACTTATTAGATAAATTACAAGAAATAACATTAAATAAGAGTAGTTTTGGTAAAAAAAAAAAAATAATATAAGAGATATGTTACGTGGATATTTTGTAAAAAGAATTGTACATACTAAAGATACTTCTTTTGTCCTTGTTGATGCCTTCATTTCTCTTTGCCTTTCGATTCGGTTGTTTGTCCACACGGAAAGAGATGTATCTGTAAATGATACTTTGACGCTCAAGCGAATTATTAGTTAGGTGTATTAAATGTGAATAATGAATCATAACTTTATCTCGAGATACAAACTATTTATACTGACTATAATGGACCTAAATTTCAATGAGCCATAAGTTAGGATTACCAATTAGGTAATATACCGATAATTGGTTTCATACTAGTGATTAAGTCCTAAACATTTTAGTTATCATAAGTTAAGGTTACCAATTAGGGGGACGACCTATTTGTGTTTATCCTCGGCCACTAAAGGTGTCGAGATAATGAATTGTGTTGATCCTTTGTCTATGGAAGGTATTGGAGGGTTGGCTAAACCCTTCGACTATTGGGGGCACTAAAGTAGAGACCTTGTTTCACTCCTTCTCTACGACTACTGACAGTGTCGAAGCACTGGACTCACTTTACACAATCTCCTTAGCTATTGAGGACGTTGAAGCACTAAGCTCGGTTTACACAATCTTTTCCAGCTATCGAGGCCATCAAAGTGATGTACTTGCTTCCAAAAACTTCTTCCAAGCTAACATTCTTTATTTGAATCTTATAAAGAAGGTGAGAAGGAGTATAATTGAAAATTTGTAATTAAATGATAATATATGTACATATGATATTTATTTTAAATAATAATTACATCCTTAAAGTAATATATAAAATGCTTTTTAAGTATGAGTGTAAATGATTTGCGATTAATTCATAAACTTGACTATCCTGATTTAATTATTTTTAGTGAATTGGGTTGAATCATCGGATTGATTTGAATATTTTTTTTACTTATATGACAATAATCGAGCCAAATAACAAGTAAAAAAGTTTGTAATTCAATCAACTTGACCCAGCCTACACTTAAGAATAATTAAAAATATAAATTATTTGATATACATGAGACAACACATAAAATTAGCGACATAAAAATATATTATTTAAAATTTAAGTTAATAATTTAATATATATTCAATTCTATTATATACAATCACACACATATATTATTGATATCATAGTGTTGTGTGAAAAAATATATTATTTCAGGTGTTAATTATTTGTAATTGTTATTAATGATTGAAATATATATTAGAATTTGAAAAAATAACATTTTTTTTAAAATAGAATATATATCAATATTTTAATAAATTAAATTGATTACTCGCCTTGCCCAAATTGAATTATAATTGAATTGAATTAAGTTAGATTATTTAAATGAAAAAAAAATACAAACCACATCCAACTTGATTATATTTAATTTGTTTGGGTATAAAATAGGTAAACTTTTTTACTTCTCATGTATCAACATTGCACTATCATTCTATTAGACTATTATCTACCATAATTGTCACATCATACATCTCTATAAAAAAAAATGTATAAATATTTTATAAAAAAAGGTGCTATGTGAATTTTTAAGAAAAATTATCATATATATAATGACCATGCCTACTCATAATTTGGTCCAGAATATTTTGTTAGTACATACAATTACATTAATTAATCTACTTAATATAACTAAATGCCATTAACGTCATTTATTACATTTTTATTCTCATTAAATGTTTAATTAAACAGTTTTTATTTTATTTTTTCACGAGGGAAAAGTCATATATATATATATA